TGATTCGCCTAAAATTACTTCAACTTTAGAACCCAGTCCTAGTGAAGTCTCTTCTACGACAACTTTGGATCCAAATATCCCCACAACAATGATGTTTACTGAACCAAAACCAGTAGAACCATCTACACCTTCTATATTTGGTAGAGTCTCTGATGATTCCATCACAACTCCCTTTACCCCATCTACCTTGTCCATTTCAACTCTCGATTTGTCTAAAACTCTCTCCACTGTGGAAGTCACTTCCAAAGTTATTCCCAGCGTTTACTCTTCTACGACAACTTTATATCCAAATATCCCCACAAATACATTGTTCACCCAACCAGAACAAGCGGAACCACTTACACCTCTATCAGTCAGTTCCTCTGATCTTCTTATCACAACTTCCTCCACTTCACCTCTCGATTCGTCCCAAAGTCCTTCCACACTCGGACCCACTTCTACGAAAACTTTGGAATTAACTATCCCCATCACGACAACGAGCACTCAATCAGACCCAGTTGAGACACTTACATCTTCTGTATCGGTTGGCGTCTACGATAGCCCCGGTACAACACCGTCCATCCTCTCTCCTCTCTATGTGTCATCTTCCGAATCTTCCACCACTCTTTCTTCCGAATCAATTATAACTTTGGAGCTAGATTTCTCGACAATGTCATCTTCGCTTGTGACATTGCCATCTGGCCCCATTGTTTCGCATCCAGTCACAGCACAAAGTACCATCCGTCTGATTCCAGCCAGTACTCCCACCACAGCCCCTCACACTTCTCCAGTCGATGTACCTAGTTCTGAGGCTATCACAGGTTTAGGATTCACTGATCTTACGGCGGCGGAGGAGGAGAGAATTGAGGCTACAACGAAATACGAGCCTGTTGCGATAACGACGTCTACACAACCCGTTCCCAAAACACCACTCGTCGAAGCAACAACCCCAATACTGGAACTACCTTCTTCTGAACTAAAAGGGACCAGCGAACCCACCGCTACAGCAACAACTCCTTCCAGCCAAATCGACTCCTCATCCTCGATTGCACCCTTCAAGAGCTCCTCCGTTGACCTGTCGGCCACCCTGCCCGGGACAGCTCACACAACCCTCAAACCGTTCACACAATCGCCCACTCCAACCTCGACTGGCGGTCTCTTGTGGCCGCATTCCGTAGCATCCAGCACCGACTCCTCTCCGCCATCACCCAGCCCTAGAGGGGAACCTTCCGCACCGGTGTCCACCAAGCCCACAATGCCTCCGGACGGTACCGAATGGTTACCGTCAACATCGGACGTCGAGCATGAAAGCTCCAATTCGGGGTAAGATTACATACTTTCTCGTGAGATGACTGTTAGCTCGAGGGAGCAGATGGTTCGAAGGAATTTGTCCAATGGTATCACCCAAAAGCGAATAAAGATTGCCTTAGGTGGAGTGGAGACTGCTAGATAATGCGAACAAGCCATCTCGGTTTAGTATATTGGTAGGTTATTTTATACAGTATACTTTATTGTTCCGACGATGCCTGTCACCTCGGTACGGACGAAATCTGAGCGCGGGTACCACAGAGTCATACATTGTACAATTTGACAGTCATCGGTTTCCGGAGCGACATATCTCCTCAATTCCTTCCTCAGTGACGAATGCATATTTTTCTTTACACTCGCTTGGCGTTCCGTTGATGACGTACCATATTTGCAGAAAAACTGGGTTTCGAAAAATCTCTTAATAGATTAATATTAAAGGCTGGCCACCTTTCTTGCCTTCATGTTTTTGGTGAATTATCGTTAAGCATGGTGTCCTGCTCTGACAATGTCCGTCTTCTGACGTACGAAAGTTCTGCAAAGATTCATCCACGTCGCAGTGCCGTGCCCCGAGGACCTCTTCGCACAAATCCACAACAACAGCTCCAAGGCAACCCTTCAACAGCTTCCGGTGGAGCCAACTTACGAATCCCTTCCCCTCGCATCTTCAAACGAACTGAAAGGCACTCATACACACAAAATCTGTTCCACCAATTCGATCTTGCACTGGACGATTTTTGAGAACTTAAAATGGTCTGCAATCCGCTCAAGCAAACTAGCGGACAAGACTTTGAGAAGGGACACGATTTGTTGCCGTGCCTTTTATTTCGTATGAAGGTTTATGCGATGAAGAGATTTTTAGATTGGTCTCACCAAAATACAACTATTTTACTTCAATCGTTTAATTTTCCCAATATTTTCTTCTTCGGTTCGTGTAAAAGCTTCATATAAACCATGTTTACATTATTTCATTTAAGGTGATGAGGAACTGGCCGTTGAATTTCCCACAATCATATGAGAATGCAGGACGTTACAAATCAATTTCACATGGCCTTACTTTCCCAAAAGGTTGTCTCATTTAAGCAGGGGTTGACACCAACACATCCACCGGGACTCGAACCATGACAATAAAGTGTATGATCTCGACATGTTAACTACCTTACCAAATTGCCATGAGTGCCCTTGAGTCACAGAGCAGATGTGAATTTCAAGAAAGGCCAGGCAGGTGTTTTCCCAAATCATATTCTGTGGTGGGATTTTTGATGAAGCAAATTATGTTTGCCATATCAATCGACGACACTACTTATATTTCGTTTTAAGTAGGTTTTTGAGTCTACCAGTAAATGAGATATACGAGGATCATGCTAATAATAAGGAAGACCAAGAAGATTTTGGACGCTTTTGTGCCAATTTAAGCATCATAGTAACATCAAACAATAAGATCCAACTATGAATCTCATCATCAGACACTTAAATTCGAAATGAAATTCAACACAACATTAAATAAGAGCTCCATTCATCCTTGGGTGTATAAAGTGATAAAGTTTTGGTAGTTGAATTTGCCCATATTAATATCATTCCTTTATTATCTTATGCGATTTAGGGTGAATAAAACTCTTAGTTAGGGGTTGTTTATACTTTTGACACCTACTCTAAACGATTATCGGCACAAGGTTGTTATTCGTATTTAAGTAGAGTTTCGAGACAATATTGTTATCTCAGAAGATTTATGGAAACCCAGTTACCTTAAATGTAGGTTGTGCTATTTCAAGGATGAGCCCGAAGAGATAGTTTCGAGCAGCGCAGATTTCATGGTTGTGTTCAATCATCCGGGCGAGTGACTGCCGGGCGTACTTTACAAAAGAGCTGACTTAAAACCGATTGATAAAATGCAATTTAGTGCCTATGAAGTGAAGATGCGTATTCAGTCTGTAGCTATACAGTCCTTATGTCTACGGATGAAGGACGGATTGACAAATTTTCCCACAAAGATATAGGCACGCTTCAGGATGTTATTACATTACACTTGAGTAGCTTCTGCCTCGCTTGAGACTCATAATCACCCATTGTGCGAATGAACATCGAAGTGTGTACTACTTTTGTCAGTAGTGAGTAGTCTTCGATGCTATCGGTAGATCTTGGATAAGTAATATAGACGCTCTAGTCCTATAAGATGTATGCTTTTTTTCATATTAGTTCGCCTAAGTTGATTTAAGGACTGTCGATTGAGTCTTTATATTGCCATTGAAATTCCTCTCTGGATTCTATACTAGATCGTGATAATTGTGGCGACACATTACCCCTCCGCCGTAAAACCTCGTGTGTGTGGCAATGGAGGTTAGAGCAGATGTGACATTCCGGACAAATTACATTTAGAGTAGGAATCTTGAGGCGCGCGACCAAATATTTGCCAGTTCAATGGACGTGGCTACTTATTTTCGATGTTAACAGCTTCAGAAGTTACCTTTCATTCTGAAATACGAATTAAGCCACATCAGATTGCTTAACATAATCTCACTTCTCATGTGTGTATTCAACCTATTTCGTGTAAGCTAATAATGGGACAGGTAGTTGATTTTTCCCTCTGCGATGTGGGAGGACCTTGTGCTTCCAAAAAGGTGTTCTCATCCAGCATGGGGTGGACTCCAGTTTCTACCTCGTCTATGTCCTACCAACGCCCGTTCGCAGGACTCGAACCATGACACTACAGCGTATAATCTCGACAGGTTAACCACTCCGCCACGTTGCCATGAATGCCGTTGACTCACAGGGCAGATGTGAACTTCAAGGAAGGCCAGGCATTTTTCCATATCACATTTTGTGGCCGAGTAAAGTCTAATTTTATCTCGTTGTGGAAAAATGCAACTACCATTCCCATTATCACCTTACACGAAATAGGGTGAATACACTTCAAATATACACTCTACTGGTTGTATCAAAGGCCTACTTGTAAGGGAAAAACAACTAAAATCTTATTCCATAATCAGATATATGAGGATCATGCTAATACTAAGTAAGGCTAAGAAGATTTTGGACGCTTTTGTGTCAATTTAAGCATCATAGTAACATCAAACAATAAGAATCTCATCATCAGACACTTAAACTCGAAATGAAATCCAACAAAACATTAACTAAGAGTTCCATTCATCCTTGGTTTTATAAAATGATAAAGGTCTGGTAGCTGAATTTTCCCACATTAAAATCATTCCTTTATCATCTTATGCGACTTAGGGTGAATACAACTCTTAGTTAAGGGTTGTTTATACTTTTGAAACCTACTATAAGCAATTATCGGCACAACGTTGATATTTATGTGTAAGTAGAGTTTCGAGACAACATTGTTATCTCAGAAGATTTATGGAAACCCAGTTACCCTAAATGTAGGTTGTGCTATTGCAAGGATGGGCCCGAAGAGATAGTTTTGAGAAGCCCGGATTTCATGGTTGCATTCAATGATCCGGGCGAGTGACTGCCGGTCGTAGTGTAATAATGGGACAGGTAGTTGACTTTTCCCTCTGCGATGTGAGCAGACCTTGTGCTTTCAAAAAGGTGTTCTCATCCAGGATGAGGTGGACTCCAGTTTCGACCTCGTATATGTCCTACCAACGCCCGTTAGCGGGACTCGAACCAGGACAATACAGCGTATGATCTTGACAGGTTAACCACTCCGCCACGTTGCCACGACTGCCGTTGACTCACAGGACAGATGTGAACTTCGAGAAAGGTCAGGCATTTTCCCATATCACATTTTGTGGCCGAGTTATCACCTTACACGAAATATGCTGAATAAACATCAAATAAACGCCGACTTGTAAACGAAAAACAACTGACATCTTATTGCATAATTATTCGAGGTTCTGTTGCCATGCCTCCTCTATTTGCCTCTAAAGAGCCTCTTCTCCAGCGACGCCCAGTCCGAGTCCTGCCAGCGGCAGAGTCGACTTTGACCTGCCCAAACTGTCGCCGTTTACGCTGGCGCCTCCACGCATCTGGTCGCCGACGGAGCCCGACGACAAAGCGTCGCCGTTCGTGACCGAATCGGGCGCGAGGCGAGACAAGCCGGGCCCACGTGTTCCCGCTCTGCCGCACAAGACGTCCACGGACCGGCTGGTCCCGGGCTCGCTGGTCCCTCGTGGGCCATTCGAGCGCCAGTCGACGTCCGTCGACCACGAGGCCGAGGGACTGTTGCTGTCGGCCAACTTCTCCTTCAACCTCGGCCTCACCATCGGCCTCATCCTCCTCTCCATCCTCATCCTCCTCATCGTGCTCGGTTTCATTTTGCTCGCCGCCTGGTCGCACAGCCAGCGACGCAACGGCTACCACCAACGCGGCGGTGTCGTCTTCCCGCCTCTGGCCAGAGTCCCCGGCGTCTCGGCCGCCCCGACCGACTCGGCAGCCCCCGGACGCCAGGTCCGTCGCAGGCCGGCCGGTGGAGCGGCCGATTTGGAGGCGGCCAGACAGGACCGTCCGAGGCCGATGAGCCCCGGTAGAATTGGTGTCTTCAGCACGACCACGGCGCCAACTGGCCGCTTGGCACCGCTGCTACATCGTCGTCGACTTCCCGGACAAACGCAGACGTCGACGTTGACGTCGACGTCGGCTCCGACGCCCAAGCTGACGCAGACGCAGGCGATGCGTCATGCTCGCCGTCACGATTCCGAGTCCCAGTTGCCCCGGGCAACCAGGATTCACAACCTCAGCGAGGACGAGTACGACTCGACGGACGCTTTGGTGGCCGACGTCTCGACGGGTCGTGGTGCCAGGCGTCCGGTTCTCGGGCCTTCTGGACTTCCTGGAAGCGGGTTGCCTGCCCAAAAGTGGCAGCGCAACCAAGCCAGGCTGGCCGAACTCTCGGCCGGTTGGCGGCACGACGACCAACCCGAGGCATCGGAGACGGCGACTGCAACGGCGACGGCAACGGCGACGGCGACGGCGGGAGTGGAGAGGCGCAAAATCGGGCCGTATCGGAAAGTTTCGCCGAGCAGTTGTGTCCAATCGGCATCGGCCGTTGGCCAACTCAGCCTCGACGTGGAGTCAAAGCGACAGTCGCGATGTTCCCGAACCGGACGACCGAGCGAATGGAAATTCATCGACGAATAGACCTTCGCGGTCCCGTCTCCTCGGATCGAGCAAAGATATGCAACTTTGATTCGCTGATTGTGCACCATCATTAATGCAGCCAACTTTTCTACGCACCATTGTCGGCCAATTCCGTCGTAATTGTGTAAATCGCTTTGTGTAAAAATATCCTACACGTACATCTTCACGAGATCGCTTTTTCCCAGACTTGCAGTCCCCTTCTGGCGACAGGCAGCAGGCCCAATCTCATCGCAACCCAGCGGTGGCAACGGGAGAACTGCACTCGTGGCCTTGTCGCGAAAATGTCAGCTGACTCGTTTAAAGATAGTTTTAACCTCGAGTAAATCCGCTACCCCGACACACACACACACACACACGTACTGGCCAAGTTGAACGACAACATTTTTTTCTGATGCCTCTAGCAAAAGTAAAAAATATGCTGACAGCACTTTTTCCTCTTTTATGCCATTCACGAGTCAACATGAGCCGACTCCCGACCCGAATACCCATTTACTTGTGGACGATACCATTGTCCATGTTACAAATGTATGTGGTGATGACACCGCTACTGCTTTGAAGGCGTTTTTCACGAAAAAACGCCCAAACCCCAGACACAATGTATCCCAAATCGGCTTTTTTCAACTGCTCAGTCTGTGCCCATATGCCTCGGACACGCACTGAACTGGCTGTACCAGCAAACGACCGAACACCTCGTAAAATATGATTAAGCAAAGCGATTTATATCCGGTTTTCTAGCAGAAATTCTCTGATGCTCAACTTTTAGTACTTGATGCAGGAGATGGACATGTGTGTCTGTCCATTTAGCGTCGCTTTCTTACCACTAAGATCTTTACTCGCAGAAATGAAAACCACTTGGTTCCAGTCTCCTGTATGATTTATACAAGTTGTTTAATCTCGTTTTTTCTACTACTTGTTTGTGTTATCAAGGCGAGATAGAATAAAAATACCTCATTCAAATTCGTGCGTCATTGCAGTTAAGCTACTTTTCAGCCTCTGACCACAAAATCGGTACATTATCAAACGTTGCGCCGACATCATCAGTGAGTCCTGTCATTCTTAGGCCCAAGATTCAACTCGTCAAAATACAAGGGAAGCCAATTCCTCAACCAACTATCTTAAGAAAACTTGTGGTACCCACTCTCCGCTTGTTTCAGTACATCTACTCACCCCATTCACTCTTCATAGCTCTATCTCTTTGTCACGACTTCGAAATTAGTTTCTACTACATTTACAAATAAGTGGGAGCTTTTAAGTGGATCTATCGAGGTGTAATAACACGTATCGCTGAATTTCACTGACAAAGCCGGCGAAGCGTCTGTCAATGTACTAATTATATCGTCTGAAGCTAAAAATTCTCATAACTTCACTATCAGAGGACTCCTTCAGAGGTAGATCCATCTATTTCACTCTGACAGCATGACCAAGATGTTGTGTAAAGTTCATATTATCAACATTAGGCGAATAAAATTAAGGGATATTTTTATATTTCCTCCAAAAAACTTTCAAAATAGCGTATTTCCCTACTTTCTTTTGCGATTACATACAACAACATAAAATTCGCTTCCTATGAAGAGGTTTACATCATACATTCGCGAAAGGCGTGGAAAAGTTAAAAACACATCCAGATTAGCATTAGTGGGTGCTGATGTTGACCGAATTTATGCCTCCTATCAATTACAAGTTTTAGTCCGGTCAATACCATTGTAATAAAACTATTGGAAACATCTTCAAGACAAAAAGGGCAAAATAACTCTTCAAAAAGTAGCCTAATCTTCAACTATGTAAATGGCTAGTCTTTAGAGATTTAGGCAACAAATGGTTAAAGAGCTAATAAATCATTTATAGTTTGTCAAAAATGAGAGCTGCATGAAACAGGTAATATAATTGAAATAATTTATGAAGGTTAATTAATGCAAATAAATTTAAATATGATAGAAAAAGAAAAACAATGATAAAATAAAATATAATGGAAAATATGCAATATTTCTATATTTTATAAAAAAGAATATAAATAAGAAAATTAATTAGACACTAAATTTAATCAGAAGAAACGAATATGAATGATAATATGAATACAAATTTGAAAAAAAATTTACACAAATGTCAGTAAATTCTAAGAGATAATCATAGAAAAAGCAAAAATAATGTAATAAAAGAATAAGAGGGAAATATAGCAAAATAAAGATATAGGAGCAAAATGAAAATAAAAAAATAAAAATCTATCTAAATTAAATTTAGTAATGAAAGAAAAAAAAATATAGAAATAAATCAAAATCAAAATGAAATTATATAATAAGGATGAGGTGAGTCGAAACTAAAATAAGATTAAATGAGATGAAACGAGATGAAACGAGATGAGATGAGATGAGATGAGATGAGATGAGATGAGATGAGATGAGATGAGATGAGAT